CACACTGCTAGAAAAGCTCCGTGCTCTCAGTGCTCTCCTTAACTAACTTAGCACAAGTTCATATCCCGAAAGAGTCGCATTCTCTTCATGCCTTCCAGAGATAGCAAACCCGAGTCCGGATGTGCAATCGTTGGCATGCTCGGATCCTTGGGGTCGTCGTAGCTCCAATCCACTGAGCGAGAGGCAAAGGTCTGAGAAAGTGCCACCACCTGTGTCTGAAAATGGACGATTTAGCCCTTGAAAGTGGCCATGTAAATAGTATTGAATAGGGAAAATGAATGAACATGATGATTCTCCGGTAATCAAACATGGCTTGCTGGAAAATCCACCCTTCAATACTATTTTTCCTAGCTATCAACCTCCATTTATAGGTTATTTTTTTTTTCCAGCGGATGGACGCGGATGGAATGGTCCCATTTTTGGACAACCCCACCTTCAATTCACCGCACCGGCCGAGCCGATCAGTGCTTGCCGTATCCTCAGTTGCCAGCCCAGAATGTTGCGCCGGGGTGCAACTAGCTTTGTGCCCTTCCAGTAAACTAACATAGCTATGGAAAGTGGACCATTTGATAGCTAATTTAATTTACTTTCTAAAATTAGCAATTTTCTATATTAAATGACAAATTACCAGAGAGTAGCTTGAATCTACCCATTCTTTTGGTGAATTCCTCCATTTTTGGCCCTCTCTGGTATCAGTAGAGTCGACTCTGCATCCCCTCCCATCATATCCGCGGTGCGTTGCCGCTCCACTGGCAGCCCTTCCGATCCAAGGCATAGTTCAGCAGTTGCTGACAGCTGGGCTCCGGTGCAGAGAGTAATTCCTCATCGAAGAGCAACTGGAGTTTTTCAGTGTAGCGGTACAGGATGAAGCCCACATTCAAAACCTGGGCCGCAGCCAATCTCAGACCTGCTGCATTTTTGTTTGAAAGCTGGTTTGTAAACATCCGCGATACCGAAAGAACATATTAAAGCAGGCATCCAAGGATGAGAAAAGTTGGGGGAAACATCGGCAGTTCAACGATTAACACCTGCCTGGGATGTCAGCATCACCAGGGCATGTTGGCCTCACTAGTACGAGATAGTACGAGTACGGGTCAAGCTTGTGGGTCGAGTCAAGTCAGAATCCTGAAACATGGCATGTCTTGCGATCAATTCTAGAAATGGCAACAGTCAGAGTTCACGGTCTTACATCTTGACCAAAGATGTTTCGGTGGCTACATCCCCTGGTTGCCTTCCCCCATCCCCAACCTACAAGTTTCTTACTGTAGTGTGATGATATCGAAATACCCGCGAGTGTTCCTTTGATACCATCTGTCCTCAAGAATCATAGTCTCATTTCCGGCATCACCCTCCGGACGGATGTCACACATGTTTTGGAAATACTGTAGTTTAGACCATTTGCGGCTTTCCCTAAGATTAACCGTCATTTCTAGGGCTCGACCATTCCGTCGCTCTAAATCTCCGTACTCAGTAAGCAATCACAACCATGAAAAAAACATTTAAAAAACACGTTGACATCTACATGAGTGTGTCGAAAAATGAAGTGTATGTATGTATAATGTGTAATGTATATGTAAATATGTCTATGTCTATGTCTATGTATATGTGTATGTACGTATGTATGTACGTACACTGGTAGGACAAAAGTTGCGCTTGCTGAGCTTCCCACAGTGAACATGGTTGGTTTCTTCTTCTGCACACCCTTTCCCCGTAGAATCCTAGCATGGAGCTTTGTCGTACCCCGGTCGCATTTTCACCCTCCAAAAGCTTTAAAATCTTATATATTTAAAAGAGGGTGATAATTGACCGTCCCACGCCTGCCACGCAAAACGGACTTGAAAATGTGATCCGCGGGTGACCGAAATGGATGTTTTGTAAAGCTTTCAAGAAGCATAAACTTTGTTCCTCCTGAAGGGTACAAAAAGCTTATTGAGTGGGGATTGCCAAGTCATTTGCTGATTTTTGCACCTGCTTCAACATGTCTGTTTCCAACCTCTTTGCCTGCACTGCTACACATGTGCCGTGACGCAGGGTACAAAAAGCTTATTGAGTGGGGATTGCCAAGTCATTTGCTGATTTTTGCACCTGCTTCAGCTTGGTAATTACTCCACAACATGTCTGTCTCCATCCTCTTTGTCTGCACTGCTACACATGTGCCGTGACGCACTGGTAGGACAAAAGTTGCGCTTGTTGAGCTTCCCACAGTGAACATGTTTGGCTTCTTCTTCTGCACACCCTTTCCCCGTAGAATCCTAGCATGGAGCTTTGTCGTACCCCGGTCGCATTTTCACCCTCCAAAAGCTTTAAAATCTTATATATTTAAAAGAGGGTGATAATTGACCGTCCCACACCTGCCACGCAAAACGGACTTGAAAATGTGATCCGCGGGTGACGGAAATGGATGTTTTGTAAAGCTTTCAAGAAGCATAAACTTTGTTCCTCCTGAAGGGTACAAAAAGCTTATTGAGTGGGGATTGCCAAGTCATTTGCTGATTTTTGCACCTGCTTCAACATGTCTGTCTCCAACCTCTTTGCCTGCACTGCTACACATGTGCCGTGACGCAGGGTACAAAAAGCTTATTGAGTGGGGATTGCCAAGTCATTTGCTGATTTTTGCACCTGCTTCAGCTTGGTCATTACTCCACATAGCATGTTTGTCTCCATCCTCTTTGTCTGCACTGCTACACATGTGCCGTGACGCACTGGTAGGACAAAAGTTGCGCTTGCTGAGCTTCCCACAGTGAACATGGTTGGTTTCTTCTTCTGCACACCCTTTCCCCGTAGAATCCTAGCATGGAGCTTTGTCGTACCCCGGTCGCATTTTCACCCTCCAAAAGCTTTAAAATCTTATATATTTAAAAGAGGGTGATAATTGACCGTCCCACACCTGCCACGCAAAACGGACTTGAAAATGTGATCCGCGGGTGACCGAAATGGATGTTTTGTAAAGCTTTCAAGAAGCATAAACTTTGTTCCTCCTGAAGGGTACAAAAAGCTTATTGAGTGGGGATTGCCAAGTCATTTGCTGATTTTTGCACCTGCTTCAACATGTCTGTCTCCAACCTCTTTGCCTGCACTGCTACACATGTGCCGTGACGCAGGGTACAAAAAGCTTATTGAGTGGGGATTGCCAAGTCATTTGCTGATTTTTGCACCTGCTTCAGCTTGGTCATTACTCCACATAGCATGTTTGTCTCCATCCTCTTTGTCTGCACTGCTACACATGTGCCGTGACGCACTGGTAGGACAAAAGTTGCGCTTGCTGAGCTTCCCACAGTGAACATGGTTGGTTTCTTCTTCTGCACACCCTTTCCCCGTAGAATCCTAGCATGGAGCTTTGTCGTACCCCGGTCGCATTTTCACCCTCCAAAAGCTTTAAAATCTTATATATTTAAAAGAGGGTGATAATTGACCGTCCCACACCTGCCACGCAAAACGGACTTGAAAATGTGATCCGCGGGTGACCGAAATGGATGTTTTGCAAAGCTTTCAAGAAGCATCAACTTTGTTCCTCCTGAAGGGTACAAAAAGCTTATTGAGTGGGGATTGCCAAGTCATTTGCTGATTTTTGCACCTGCTTCAACATGTCTGTCTCCAACCTCTTTGCCTGCACTGCGACACATGTGCCGTGACGCAGGGTACAAAAAGCTTATTGAGTGGGGATTGCCAAGTCATTTGCTGATTTTTGCACCTGCTTCAGCTTGGTCATTACTCCACATAGCATGTTTGTCTCCATCCTCTTTGTCTGCACTGCTACACATGTGCCGTGACGCACTGGTAGGACAAAAGTTGCGCTTGCTGAGCTTCCCACAGTGAACATGGTTGGTTTCTTCTTCTGCACACCCTTTCCCCGTAGAATCCTAGCATGGAGCTTTGTCGTACCCCGGTCGCATTTTCACCCTCCAAAAGCTTTAAAATCTCATATATTTAAAAGAGGGTGATAATTGACCGTCCCACACCTGCCACGCAAAACGGACTTGAAAATGTGATCCGCGGGTGACCGAAATGGATGTTTTGTAAAGCTTTCAAGAAGCATAAACTTTGTTCCTCCTGAAGTATGTATGTATATATGTATATATATATATATGTTATAATTACATACATCCATACATACGTACACATATACATATTTATCCCCAGTTTATGGCCGTTTCAGTAGGCAAACTGTTGATTCAGCAGCAGATTTAAGGGTTGTCCCCATATTTTCAGACAAACCCACCTCCATCCAGAAGTCCCAGGAACGAAGCCCCACTTTTCCACCAGCTCCTTGGGATTGCTCTCGCGGCTGGAGGATGCAATGAGATCTACATCTGGATGCGCTTGCAAGATGGCCTCTGGCTTTCGAACCCAGGGGTGGGGATGGAAAGAGCTTCCAGTTGAGCAAAAAAAGGTAGCAATTTTCTGGAATTTAGAGAACTTGAGGCAGCAAAATAAAATTCACCCTGATCTGAAAATCCAGTCAAAGCCGAACTCAGGCAAGGGACACAAGGGTCTTCCGCTGGAAAAACTTGGGGTTGCAGCCGGGGTGGAAAAAAATGGGTATCACCACCCATGATTGTAAGCACCATGTTTTAGCCTCTAAAATTATGGCCATATACACGCACGAATTAACCTATGGTTATTTAACATATGGTAAATCACTATTATTCATAGGTAAATCATCTATAACGATTTATTTTCATGGGCCATGTTCCATAGCTACGTAACAAAATACAGGAGGGTATAAATTGGTATATAATCTCCATTTATAGATGAATGTCCCATCAAATCCTCCATTTATGGGGGATTTTCCCATGAAGTAACTGGAGGGTCAGTGGTGTTTTGCACCCAAAAAAGACATCAAATCCATCCGCAAACGGCACCTTCAAGCGATGATCTGGAGGCTTCAACCAAAGCGCATCCACATCCAGATGCAGAACGTCTTGTTGACGTTGCTGCAACGTGTCCCAAATCATTCCTTGGGGCTTCGGTTTTCAGGCTTTCCCCGAAACAAAAAAATAAAAACCAAGGACCAAGGTGTTCCGAAAACCAAACATATAGCATGCATGCATGCATGTATGCATATGCATATTAAATATTATATATATATGTATGTATGTATGTATGTATGTATGTATGTATGTATGTATGTGTATATATAAACACTCACAACACTTGATTTTCACAAGCTGTGCAGATCAATTTTGTCAAGATTAAAGAATTGAAATAGTAAATAGAGTTTTGATTGTCAACAGAAGGATACCTCACCTTCATTTGGGTCCCAAATGGATTACCTTCCGCCACACCGGAAGATAGTCCACCTACCCGTGCCTTCCGTGATTCTCGCCACACCAGAGAAAACACGGACACTAGGCACATGACAATCATTTTTGCAATAAATAGAAGAAAAAACAAAGGCCTCCCCCCTCCCTTTGTTTTCGGTTTCGACGCTTTGCGGGAGCTTCCACGTCCCCCTGTCCTTCTCTCTTTGAGAGATTGCTCAAGCGAAGGATTAAATTTCCAGACAGAATAAATACGGTGAAACGGTGAAAGTAGCGGTTTCGGAATCTGTAGATCGGATAGCATGGCTAGCCCAGAGTTAATATAGATACGGGCTGTTTTGATAGCTGCCCACCGGCCAGCAACTACAACCTTGTCTAGTGATCCACACTTCACGAAGAGATGTGTGGCACCACCCCTACGTAAAGAGTAGGGTCTGAAATCCCACTGGGTCAATTTCAATTTAAGAATACAATCTGCAAACAAAGCACGCCAGGCATGAGGCTTTAAAGTAAGATAGGCGTGTGGAGGAACCTTTGATTTCCATGCCCACAAATGTGCCAGGACATGTTGTTCCGTGAGAGTTACACTCTCAGCTGCACCTTGCCTCTTTCCTGACTTTGTTAAACCGAGATTGATGACCGCAGGTTTAAATTGGGATTCCATATGAATCTGCCAGGCTTGGAGAGACAGTAGTTCTCCAGTTCTGAGCAAACTATAAAACCCTACTAGTAGGCTAAGTCCAAAGGTGTAGTGTTCTTGTGTTACAGCCCAACCTACCATTGCTTTCAACACTGCCTCAGTCAATGGTGGTGCTCTTGATGGAATCTCATGAGTAGTCCATGTCCGCATGAGTCGCCATGATCCTGGAAGGTTGTTTTTGAGCTTTGGCATATAGTCCTGTAAGGCAGCCATGAACGTGCTGGCCACAGCTCGCCCTTCTCCTTGTGCCCACAGGTACTCGAGGTAGTCTGAAACTAAAGCATCCATTTCATCTTTCTTTCGGGGTAGTTCGAGCAATTCGTTTTTCAAAAAGTCAAAAAAATCTTGAAGTCCTTTGGAGTATCTGGCTTTTGTAGTTGCTTGCACTGTAAGGCTTTTCAAAGTTCCCAATAGGTTGAGCCAACCTCACTTCCTCCCCAGTATAGTCCACTCCCTTTTGGTTGAAGAAGTTGGCAAAATCAATGTCGGGAAGTACTTCTTTCAAAATATGGGAGCCCTGAACAACACTCTGCAGCCTTTTGAGCACCACTCGGGCGGGAGGTGACAACGGTTCACCTGAGCCTACCATGCTACAACCATGGAGGCTGTTGAGGCACACTACAAGCGCCTGGAGAAATGGATGTTGTGGGTCACCTGGTACACCTTGCCTTGGGACTGGAAGTGGGAATAATTCGAACTTCCTAGCCGTGGACCCTGATCTGCACTTTTGTGAAAAAGGTTCAAGCAACTGAAGGACATGGCTTACCAGGCTACCCAGCTCTCCAACTGTGCTACCGCTCTTGAGGCCTGATAGACTTTTCCTAATCAGGTCTTGAATTCCTTCACCGCACTTTTGGGAGTCCTCATCAAGAATCTTGTCACTCCCTTCTTTTTTCTTCTCATCGAATTCGAATCTTTTTTGGGAGCCCTCTGCATCGCTCCCTTCTTTTGGCTTTGCATCTAATTGGCTTTCAAACTGGGAGTCTCCCTGGCACCACCCAGGAATCCTCCCTTGGCTTTTCATGGCTTCCCTTTGAGCTTCGTCCAAGAGATGTTCCACGTCAGCCATAGTGAAACGATGTTGCCACCCTGCCTCCTGCTTTCCACTCTCCTCTTTTGCAGCCTCCTGACTTGTGAAATTCTTTTCACTCCTCATCACCTTTTCATTGGCGAGAGTCTCACTCTCCCTTCTTCTTTTTTGGTGCTTTTGGGTCTCTGGATCTCTATACCTCCTCACTTGTCGCTCTTCTTCTGCCATGACCCTTTTTGCTCCTCTCTTCCTCCTTGGCCTTTCCCTTTGCCGCTCTCTCCAGAAGACCCTTTTGTAGCACCTTTTGAATCTCGTCCCTTTCTGTTCTTTCCTCCCGGCGTAGCTTCATTCCCCTTTCCTCCAGGGGCTCTTTGGAGCAGCGCTTTCAAGCGCTCTTCTTCTTTTGCGCGTCGTGCTGCCCCCAATCTTTCTTGTTCTTCAGCCATTCCTCCTTCGTCGATCTTGATCAACTCATGTTGTCGACAAACAGTCCAATGCGCCCCCTTGCTCAATGCTTCAAGTGATTTCAATCTTTGATTGAGCAAGTCCATGCAGGCCGCCGCATGACCTTGTGCAAGGAGGTCGAGAGCTTGACATAGGGTCAAGCTTTCTTGTTGGAGGCTGGCGGACATGGCTGGCATTACCACCTGGCGGCCATACTGAGTGTACAGCGGTGGTAATGTAGCTTTGTTGACGTCCCAAAGCGTCCCAGCAGCTGTAACCAGGATCTTCTTGATTTCCTGGATGGAACGCGCCGCTAAAGCCCCCGGGCACTTTTTCCAAATGGCCCTCAGTCTTTTCTCCTCCTCAAAAAGACCCTCCTCACCATAGTCGCTAGAGTCACTTGAGGTGGAGCTCGAAGCACTGGATCTTCCTGACGAAGAACTGCCCTTATCTTTCTTCTTGTTCTTCTTTTTGCCTCTTTTTCCAATCCGACGAGCTCGCTTCAAGACTTTGCCTCGCCGACTTGGGTCCGGATCCATCCCTGTGTGCTTGAAGAAGTCCTCCAGCGGTTTCTGGCCTGATTCGCGATCCTCTCTGTCCTGTTTGGGAGACTTTGATGCTCTCCCCTCTTCCCGCTCCTTCTTTTTCTTTCTTCTGTTTTCCTTTGCCTCTTCTTTCTTAGCGTGCTCTTTCTTTTCTTTCTCCCTTTTCTCAAGTTCTTTTCTAAGCTCAGCCATCTCATCAACCTCCTCTGCTGCCTCCTTTGCTTCCTGCAAATTGGTCAGCCAGGGCACCCTTGCCAAGGCCGTCTCTTCAAAACCTTGAGCATGAAGTAAGACTTCATCAGTCAGCTGTTCGCCGCATCCTTCTTCACATAGATGAATGCTGACAAGCCGGTCTCTTTTGCCGCTGAGGACTCTCAACAGCTCCTCGTTTTTGGTGCCACTAACTTTCAGCTTTGCATAGAAGTTCTCACCCTCTACGACCAGCCCAGTGAAATGCCCTGCCACCGGCGCAGGCTGGCCGTAGTATCGGGCTTCCTGCAAGACCACCGGCCCTAGCTTGGGGAGGTTTCGCACATCCATCTCGGTGAACTTCTTGAAACCTTTTGCGGCCTCATCTTGTTTTACCTTCATTGCAGGCTTCCTGACTCTTTTGGGGGCAGCTGCAGGTCTTCTGAGAACTCCTCTGACCACTTTGGGAGGCATTGTCTCCCTTTTTACCTGTGGTAACGCCTGTTGAAGAGCTCTTGTTTAGCTCTTTTTACTTGTCCCTTGTTCTCTGAAGATGTCCACCTTGGATGTGAACTTCTTGGCAATTCCCCTTGCCAGCCCCTGCCCTGACGGCTAGGTGGGGGATAGTCGGGTTCACGCGGACCCCAATGGCTGCTACCTCCCCTATTAGGCGGGGGGTAGGCTGGTTCCGACGGCCGTTCTGGGTGCCGCTTCTTTTCTTTGCCGCCTTCTGACCTCCTTGCCTTCGATGAAGAACTCCTTCTTCTTTTTCGGTCACGGTCCTTGCTCCTCTTCCGTTTGCCCTCTTCTCTGGGGCTGGGAGTCCTGTTAACTCCCCTACGCCTTTCTTCTGCCCTGGGACTTCTTCTCCTTTCTCGGCTTCTTGACCTTCTCCGCGGTGATGAGGTTGGATTTCTTTTCCTTTCAGAGACTTTGGGACTTCTAGGGACCTCGGCTGCTTTGTCACTTTCCTGCTTGCTCCTGCTGTGACTGGCCTTCTCTGCTTGAGGTGGAGGTACTGGAGGGGCTGCCTTGGACGCTAATAGCAGCTCAGCACTCGGTCCTGGTGGCGCTGGACCGGTTTGGGAGGTACCTTCACCCTCCCGTACAGGTGGCGCGGCTGGTGGTGCAGCCTTTGCCCCCTCAAACAAGTGCACCCCAGGGAAACGCCGGGAAACTTCGTCCCGGAGCTCGCCCTCAAGATGCCGCAGCTGTCCACCAAGGAAGGCCACGAAATCCGGATACCCCGGCAGCCCAGTTCCAGTCCCTATCAATTGGAACACTCGAGGTAAACAGTTACACACGGGGCAGTCACACTGGGGCTTATGATTCCACATACACTAGCCCTTAAGCCGAAGCTGCATTGTGAATGTAAGTGTTTTCGTGTTTACCCCCGAACACGTAGCTACATATAATTATGTATATATATAATTATGTATATATATAATTATGTATATATATATATATATAATTATGTATATATATATATAATTATGTATATATATATAATTATGTGTATATATATAATTATGTGTATATATATAATTATGTATATATATAATTATGTATATATATAATTATGTATATATATAATTATGTATATATATATATGTATAATTATGTGTATATATATGCAAATATACATACACATACAGTATGTGTATCACATACACACATGCAGCATGTATATACGAGATATGTTATAACCTCATAATTTCGAGATGTCCAACTGGCGAGGCATGTCTCAACGTTTCAGACCAACACCAGGGATTTTTGGGCTCGTTCCTAGTGACTTTAAGTGTCTTGTGGTGATCATGTATGGAAGGGCCCCCCAAATGATAAGTTGGTTTATAAGTACAAAGATGTATGGTGGATATATCATAGTAATTAAAAATAATAATGGTCTATAATTAGTTATGTAATTACAACTAATGGGTATAAGCACAACTGGAGGGATCACTTTCTGGTAGTAAACTGTCCCCTGCTTGGGCATGTAGTTTGACCCATACCCACCTTCTCATCCCACGGCCATATCCAAGCACTGAAATGGCCCCAACGCCGTTTGGAGGAGTCTTTCTTAGAGTACTTGGAGTCGAAGCATGATGTCAGTTGGAAAGCAGGTATTGAAACAATGAAATGCAAGAAAATACTTTCTATAAGAAACGATAAAATATCATGAAATACACTAAAATACATTAAAATACACCATGAAATACATTGAAACACACTGAAAAGAGAAGCCTAGCAAAGCCTCTCGGCCTTACAGCCGTAGTCTCCCAACTCGGGTCATCCGCAGAGCTCGGTGTCAGATTTCAACCATCATCCCAGTTGTAGATTTTGGGATGATCTAACATTAATACACATTAATATATATCTAACAAATGGGATGATCTAACATGTTGGTGATTGGTTTGATGTTACTTTCAAATCAAACCACCAACAAAAATAATAAAACATATCTAACATTCACCAACCACAACCAATCATATGCAATTCTTATCCATTCTTGTCATTCTTTGCAGAGTTTCCGGTCAACTCCCCAATTGTGTTGCAGAAATCTCAACGAGCCACGGTGAAACAAGTGGATGTACTTCCGCCTGGGGAATTTCTCCTCACTACGAAGCAGTTGGACCCCTGATGCCTCAGTCCAACTCAAGGGATATCCCCAGCTGATGACCAAAAGTATCGGGGACAATGGACGAAAATTGCGTGTTTTTTTTTGGGATACCCTCCTTTGTCATGAAACATGGCGCAGGCGCAGGAAAATCCACTAGATCCATTTAGTTAACTATGGGTTTCCCAGAAAAAAATGGAAAAATGGGGGTTTCAGGGCGTACACGCTCGTATGTTGCTTGTTATGATTTTGTGTTGGGGTTCAATGTTTCATCTTCGCCTTTGATGTTTTTTCAGGTGGGGTTTTGGGGGTAATTTTGTTGCTAAAGTGATGTGTCAATGTTTGGATTGAAGGGGGGTAGGATTTGTTTAGGCTGTTGGGGTTTTTGTTTGTGTTTGGGTGGGTGATTACTTCATAATATGTGTTGTTAAGATATTATGAATTAATCATTTATGCTTTCCACTTTCCTATTCCATCCCACCAGTGTTCAATCACTCTCATTTGTGTTAAGCAAGGTTTGTTTGTATCATTTAGTTCATCCATTGCTATTGATAAAAGCGTTAGGTTGATAATCATAGCGTTGAATTCTCCATTTCGGTTGAGTTCCTTTCCACAATCAATGATGATTTTTTTATCAGTGAGGTTTTCATACATCTTTTTCATTATATCAAATCTTACGAATGAATATATTGTCATTCCATTTACTCCTTCTGCTTCTTTCATCCTATCAATTACTTTCTTCCAAAACTTTTCTCCTTCCTCATCATCTGGTGAAGGCATAGGATGGCACTTTACAAAGTCTCTAATCTCTTCATTTTTTTTTTCTATTTGTTTTCTTTCCCAATCATCGTCCTCACTATCACTACCAAAGTCAGCATATATACCAATATTCCCTGTATCTATAACCTCAATTTTTGCTCTACTCATTTTCTCTTACTATATATAGATATTTTTTCTTTAAGTATTTATCACTTTTTGTAGGTGCTCTTTTATTTCTTCTATGTTCAAATATTTCTCATAACCGTTGAACAGTTCTTCAACATATTCACGCAAGAAAATTTCCAAAATGTTTTTTTATCTTGAACTCCCTGTTTCTAAACATAAAAGTTCGTTCAACATTAGGAAACCACCAGCATCTTCGTTGCTTACTGTAATTGATGAAATTAAGGTCGTGAAAGTTTTTTAGAATATGATAAGTGTATTTCCAATGGTTTTTGACATAAGACTTAATCGCTTGAAGATATATCTTATCCTTTTGAAATTCTACCTTCAGTTTATAGGTGTCCAATAAAGCATCTATTTCTCTCTTCATTACTCTTAAATTTGTTCGGTCGGTGTTGGATAAATAGATAGGTGATTTTTCCATCCTTGTTTTAAAGAAATGTATTTGTTGTTCAACTCTTGTTAGTTTTTTCTCTTCAAAATGGTCGAAATGATAGTTGAATGTTATATATCTGCGTTCCTTATCATTCAACTCTTTACATTTTGAACAGTGAAGGTTGTAATCACATATCTCATCACAAATTCCAGCAGGAAAAATGTTGTTCAATAAAACCTTAATGTCAGTCATTTCTTTTTTACAACATCCACAGTTTTTATAAGTAAATAACATCCTCTTACTGTATATAGTCATTTTTTCTTTAAGTAGTTTTTGGGGGCTCGTTCAGTTTTCGGGTTCGGGTTGGTTTTTATTTTCCCTTTCCTCCTCTTCCAGTTCTCTTATGACCATATCTATTTCACTCATTCCTTCGTTGGGGTCTTGTCCATTGGCGAGGTTTCTTAACCTCTCAAAATCCTTCACTTTGTGTCTTTCATTGGGTGGGAGGGTTTTGAGATGTTCCTTCAACTCTGTCAGGTCAAAGTATGTGTCTTCCTCCTCATCCTCATTTTCCAAAAACATTTCCATTCTTTGCTTTTCCATTTCCATAAGTTTGTTTTCCATATATTGGAATTTCATTTGCTTCTTGTAGCACTTGCCACAAACATTCACGAAGGTTTTGAGCAAGTAGTTCCAATTAGGTTGGTTTCTATCGTTCAGGGTTATAACATCTGTCATTATACGACATCCACAGTCAAATTTAGTCATCTTATTTAGTCTTACTATATATAGGTATTTTTTTTAAAGTATATTTTTTATTGCTGATAATTTTAAAAATCTAATATTACCAGTAGTGCCCGCACGAGGCGGGGCGGAAGTTGCCTTAAAGATATATATGAGACCTTTCTCATCTATAGAACTTGCATGCGCCGTGCGCCAGCCAAGCCCGTGCGTGCGTGCACTCTGCGAAACTGGTGTCGTGTTGCACATGTCACATTTGAAGCTCCACGTCACACTTCACACTTGACAGTCTTCACACTTCACACTGCACCCTTCGCAGTCAACACTTCACACTTCTCACTTCACACTGCACTCTCCCCAATCCACACTTCACACTCCACACTTCACACTTCACAGTCCACACTTCACACTTCTCACTTCTCATTGCTTTCTTCACACTCCACACTTCACACTTCACACTGCACTCTTCGCGCCCCACGCTTCACACTGCACTCTTCACACTCCACACTTCATCTCATCTGAGCTCTTCTCGGCGCTTCTGCACGTCAGCAAGGTTGAGCGTAACTCATGTTGGTTCTTCTACATGCCAAAAGGCGTAGACCAGAAAATATTTACAATATTGAGGTCATTAATGCCAAGCGTTGATGCATTGCATGAAATCGCACCGGCAAGTGTGAACATGGTGTAGTTGTTACCTGTCAAGGAGATTCACGCAGTCCAAGCTCGACAGCTGCTTTTTTCTCTGCGCTACACTTGGTCGTCTAGGCTTTTGGCAGCTTTTCGGCACATTCAATGTCTTACATTCCAGCACCTTCAAAGTCGCCGCTTCCTTCTCGATGTATGACCACAGATCAGCAAAGGTCTCCGATTGCGCCATGGCTCCACCGCGTCTTCGGAAACGGACCGCACTGCCACGTCTCCTTGCGCACTGCGACGTCCGATATTATGAACATGGCTGTCTCATCATGCATGCCTTTCTCATCCACTATAACCGCTCCAAAACATGAGAAAATCTTCGTGACTAACCATGAGACCTGAATACATGACACCTCTGACAAATGCACGTTCCCAAGTCTTTCTTGCTACACATGTCTGCCTCCTGGAAAATGCAAACGGCTGCGGCCAGAACACATCGCCACCATGGTTTCTGGTCAAGAGTTCTATAACTTGTTCCTGGACATCAATGTCACAACCTTTACCTACATCAATATCGTACACAAAACTCGAAATAGCAACCTACATCCACGAAATAGCTGACAAACTACTTCCCAGTACTACTTCCCAGTACATACTACTTGGCACTACACAGCTTGCACCCACTACTACTTTGCACTACAATTCCCAGTACTACTTTGTACTACAAAACTTGCACAAAGTACTCCCCAGTACTACTTTGTACTACAAAGCTTGCACAAAGTCGTTTCCAGTATGCTACAATTTGCTGCTCCAAAACCGGATCTCGACGCCAAAGCAAGAAAAAGACGATTTTGAAGCATTTTTGAAAAGGAATTGTAAAAGGAAAATTACTAGCGCCAAATTTGCGAAAATCTGCTGACAAATGACTATCGCAGCCTGGATGCAGCCACTCCAATACGATTTACAATCTTCAGCTGCAAAAGACAATAGTATTACGCATGCAGCCGCGGCGGCAAGCAACCTTGAGGCAGCCACTCCAATGCGATCTGCAGAGACTGAGTTGCAAATCACAATAGAACTAAGCGCAACGGCGTCGGAAATTGCAGCTCCAAAACCGGATCTCGACGCCAAAGCAAAAAAAAGACGATTTTGAAGCATTTTTTAAAAGGAATTTTAAAAGGAAAATTACTAGCGCCAAATTTGCGAAAATCTGCTGACAAATGACTATCGCAGCCTGGATGCAGCCACTCCAATACGATTTACAATCTTCAGCTGCAAAAGATAATAGTATTACGCATGCAGCCGCGGCGGCAAGCAACCTTGAGGCAGCCACTCCAATGCGATCTGCAGAGACTGAGTTGCAAATCACAATAGAACTAAGCGCAACGGCGTCGGAAATCGCAACTCCAAAACCGGATCTCGACGCCAAAGCAGAAAAAAGACGATTTTGACGCATTTTTTGCAAGGAATTTGAAAAGAAAAATTACTAGCGCCAAATTTGCGAAAATCTGCTGACAAATGACTATCGCAACCTGGATGCAGCCACTCCAATACGATTCACAAATCTTCAGCTGCAAAAGAGAATAGTATTACGCATGCAGCCGAGGCGGCAAGCAACCTTGAGGCAGCCACTCCAATGCGATCTGCAACCGGAGATTCCAAAACACCCTATAACTACGCACACACAAGCACACCCAAAGCAGCTTGAAGCCACCGTGACACTGCGGCAAAAAAAAAAACGATAAACCGACCGCAGCCGCAACCGTCGCACACACGAGGTACCTTTCATCGTCGCCTGCAGCCACTTTACACGGAAAAACACAAGGTTTCGGGCTCCGGCTTCCTCCCCAAAACATAGCCCATGCAACATCATGCAGCCATTCCAATGGGATCTGCAACCACAGATTCCAAAACACCCTATAACTACGCACACACAAGCACACCCAAAGCAGCTTGAAGCCACCGTGACACTGCGGCAAAAAAAAAACGATAAACCGACCGCAGCCGCAACCGTCGCACACACGAGGTACCTTTCATCGTCGCCTGCAGCCACTTTACACGGAAAAACACAAGGTTTCGTGCTCCGGCTTCCTCCCCAAAACATAGCCCATGCAACATCATGCAGCCATTCCAATGGGATCTGCAACCACAGATTCCAAAACACCCTATAACTACGCACACACAACCACACCCAAAGCAGCTTGAAGCCACCGTGACACTGCGGCAAAAAAAAACGATAAACCGACCGCAGCCGCAACCGTCGCACACACGAGGTACCTTTCATCGTCGCCTGCAGCCACTTTACACGGAAAAACACAAGGTTTCGTGCTCC